GACTGACCCCAATATTTTTGACGCAATAAATGAGGGTCCCCCCGTAATTGGATTTATTTTTGAAATTATTTGAAGTTTTTATTTTCTAATAAATATTTAACTGAAGAATTTTTAAATAATCGAAATTTCGTAAAATTGAATTGTTAACAGGTGTATTTAAAAATTCTCAATGAACTTTTCAAAAATTATTAAAAATAATTGGTTTAAAGATGAATTTTAGTTAAAAATTCTGTATAATAATAATTTAATTTAAATGATGAAAATAATTTCGAGTAGTTAGAGTAACAATATTCTTATATGTAATAAGATTTTATCACTTGGTTATCTTTATATAAAAACATGAAGATCGAGTTATTCGTGCTTATAAAAATATTTTTGAAAGTTATTGAATTGAATTGATTAAAACTTTATTTAAAAAAGATGTTATTTATGTTTTTTGAATAATTTTACAATGAAAGAAATTCTTAAATAAATGGATTAGAACGCTTTTCTCAGTATTTAATCATTTTTAGAGTGAACCAGAATATTCTTTAGGCTCAGGGAAAAAGTCAAAATTCTGTCTGGAAATCAGGGAAAAATAAAGATAAATTGTGGCAATTTTTTGTGCAATTCAGCTTACACATCAAAATCTTTTTCATGGAATAATAGATTTAAGAAATTAAATTTATTTTTGTATTGCGATCCTGTTCCGTCAGAAAAGTAATACAATTTTTCAATATCTTGCAAATTGAATTCTTCTTTTAAAAATGCAAATAATTTAGAATTATATAAGTGTACACCAGTAGCATCGTGATTAACACTTTCGGAGAATGCAACGAAATTTTTATGACATAGAAATCCATTTTTCCTGTAGTAAACTACGTGAACGTGCAATGTCGCTTGATCGTTTGACTAATGTTGTAATTGGGCAGCATTTTGAATGTGGAACGAATAATTTTCTGAAAAATCCATCGTGATAATAAATTCGCCTTGTTCAAGGGAATCTTTCAGTTTCACAAATTGTTGCCACATATTTTCATGAGTTTTACATTCGCAGACATTGTGAGTGCCTTTAGGTCCAGCTAAGATACATTTTAGATGGTCTTAAAATACTGAATGCGGAGAGTTTAAATTTGAAAGAATTTTAAGTTTGAAGTTAATAAGGTTTCAAAATTCCAATCCACAAATTTCCAAAAATTTTTTTGACATTATTTAATTTTATTAAAAGCAAGTCACCATCATCATCAGTGCAATTGAAGAATTTTTCCTCATTAATTTCTTCATTAATTTGAGATTCATGTTTTCTGAAACAAATTAATGCGTAAACATTACAAATTTTTTAGCGATCTGCAAAAAGCTCAAAGCTTAATCGGTACGTTTTCGATCCTAATCGAGCTGTATAAATATCTCGAATAATTTCAAGCACTCTAGTGATTCAATGTGATGCATCTTATGAACAAATTGTTTACTGTTTTGTTGCATTTCGCAAAATACTTTAAGCGACAAAACGATGTGTTTTCAAATCCCGATGTTTCGGTTTATCGTCAAAAGATGTTAATAATGAAAAACATACTTTGATGCATTTCTACAGGGTTATAGTATTAAATGCTATATTGTTTGTTAATTTGATCTTTTTACCAAGCTACAAGTACTCTCTATGCAAATTGTCCTTTTGTTCGAAAGCAAACAACAATATTCTTTATAAACAAAAATTGGCCTACAAATTATTTAAATTGACATTAATTATGTTGCACTGTTTAATGACGCAATGTCATCGACGGTTTCTGATGTTGTATTTTGTTTTCGTTTATTTTTTCTTTCACTTTTTTAATTTGGTATGCATTTGTTCGCAAGTTTATATAATTCTGGAAAAATATATTTGCGATGCTCCCAGTAAAGTAAAATATCTTTCTTTATTAAGACGCTAGGAAGTTTTTCGAAATCGTCTAAACATTTCACTATTCCGGAATAGTTATCATATATGACATGTTTTTCTTCATATCATGTCAAGATTTTTTCTAAACTCAAAAAACATTTCAGATTTGATGTAATAGAGGCATTTTACGTCAGAAATATCACGATTTGCAAAGGGTCTGCCGATTTTCGCAAAACATCGTGGGATTATAGTTCTATATAAGAGACTTCTTTCCCCAAAATTTTTTAAAAAAAAATTCAAAATTCTTGAAGATACGCCATTTTGAATGTTAATATTAATTTTATAAAATTTTGAATATCTCGGAATATTGTTTATGGATTTTTATGAAATTTACACATTTTTTAGGTAAAAGTATGTACTTTAAACTGCAAATAAAGTTATTAAAAAAAATTATTATTTAAATAAAAAAAAATTTTTTTAAACAATTTTTTGTTTATTTACTTCTCTTTCAGAAAAATGTTATTAACATACTTGGATTCCTTATGAATTCACCTTTAATTTCATAAAAAAATTGATGGAGACTCAACTGGGTCCGGAGATATTGAAGTGACCCAGTTGAGTCTCCATCAATTTTTTTTATGAAATTAAAGGTGAATTCATAAGGAATCCAAATGCAGTCAACTCTACCAATAGTGCCGCTATCAATAGTGCCACTTCTCCTCTTTCTCGTTCCAAGAAAAGTCGTAAACGCTGTGCAATTTTGCTGCACTATTGATAGAGTTGACTGTATGTTAATAACATTTTTCTCAGAGAAGAGTAAATAAACAAAAAATTGTTTAAAAAATTTTTTTTAAATTTTTTTATTTAAAAATTAATTTTTTTTAATAACTTTATTTGCATTTTAAAGTACATACTTTTACCTGAAGAATGTGTAATTTTTATAAAAATCCATGAACAATATTTCGAGATATTCAAAATTTTATAAAATTAATGTTAAAATTCAAAATGGCGTATCTTCAACAATTTTGAATTTTTTTTTTTTGAAAAAATTTTGGGGAAAGAAGTCTCTTATATAGAACTATAATCCCACGATGTTTTGCGAAAATCGGCAGACTCTTTGCAAATCGTGATATTTCTGACGTGAAATGCCTCAATAGACAAATTGCTTTAAAAATTGGTTGGACTTACTTGAAACTTGTTCTTTGGAGGTTTTTGAGGTCGATGATTATGAAACTGCAGTCAGATTTTAAAAATTCAAAATGGTGAATCCAATAAAGCGGTAATTTTTTCAAAAATTGATGTATTTTGCTTGAAAATGAATACATCCCGGTTTTTCAGGTCGCTGATTCCAAATTTGATATCAGACGAACGCTATATTCCCTAGAATGCCGCGAATATTTAAATTTCAATAAACCATAGCATCGCAGATTATATGTTCCACAATAGTTTATGCCAGTGGAGCTAAGCAATCTCATCAGATATTTAAAATTATTAAAGGATGATGCAGAATGTCTAACTGTTGTTTAAAAAAAATTTGTTATCAAAAGGCACCACATCTTACTTTTATTGTGACACAGAAAAAGAATTTCGAAAATATTTTACAAAAGTCAATGAGCTTTCATTGGTATATTGTTCCGACATTGCACTGTCAGTTAAAAAGTGATATTTTAGAAATCTTGTTCTTTTTCCTCCCTCGAGGTATTTTTATACATAATTTTTCTGTATTTGTCTGGAATTAAGAATTCTCTAAAGTTTCTGTAACATTTCAGTACTTTTTTTCTTAATTCAGCAGTTTTTTAGCCACGAAAAACATTTGGGATGATTGGACCTAATGCATTGGATAATTGAGCAATTAGTCCAATTGTCTAAATGCCGTTTGGACAATTGAGCAGACGGCTTGCTCAATCATCCAAAATGCTATGTTAAAAATCCTTTTTTACTGGGATCTGACTGCAGATGCTTAATCAGCGATCTTAAAAATTTTCGTGGAACGAGCTTGAAGTGAATCTAACCAATTTTTGAAAAGTTTGTAAGCCACATAAAATTTTTACCGCACCAATATATATGGGGTATGGTACTGTGGTTTGTCTCTAAGGATAAAATTGGTAGTTAACGTTTGTTTTGTTTGTAGTAGTAATGGAGTTCGTAATGGTTATGTTAAATGAAATGTTTGGAAGAAAGATAAGTCATTGATTCTTCTTGAGAACTACAAATTCTCTTATCAAAATTCCCAATATAGAATATAACTCCAAATTTTTGTAAAATTAATTTTAAGTATAAGTTTTTCTAAAAAAGATGTATATAATGAATTTAGAAGTGGACGAAATTGGGGGCAACGCCGTTCGTAAAAGTTGAGCAGAAGGAGCTTCTGGGTGTTCGGCAGCCCTTCTTTTTAAAGATGACACTAATTTTTCAGCATTCACTTTCTCATAATTTGCTGCATGATTTTCGTGCTTTGATTTCTCAGGCCCTTTTATAACATTGATTTCATTTCCGTTAGATTCAGTAATGGCACGAGCCGTACATTCCGAATATCGCCGACACCTCCAAAAAATGCGTCAATTTTTTTTAGAATATTTTTGATATAAAAATCCCTCAACGTGTAAAAAATATCCTTTTCTCCTCGTTTTTATTAACTCAGACATGATTGACTATTAATTTTGAAACTTAATTGAATTTAAATTGAAAAAGACTAGACAATTTTGACACAGTTTGACAAGACGAAATAATTATTATTACTAATAATAATATAACAGAAGCTTATATCTTCAACAAATTAATATATAATTTAATTTTGTAATGTTTTTACAATATTCTGGAACTAAGAGAAAATAATTCTTCTTAGTCATTTTTGAAAGCAAAAATTTTTTTAAAAATATAGTTGGATTCTGACATGTTCTACTGTATTGTCCAATATTTTCAAATGACCAAATTTTAATTACCTGGGGAAGTATTAATTTTTTGTTAAGTTTTGTTAAATGAAGAACCATCTGAACTTTATTAACAAAAAACGAAAGATTAGACGGACAGGATAAACAGTAGTCATTTTTAAATCCATTGCAGACTATCATTCTACCTTTTGTAACGGATTAGCTATAAGTGGAATACGGGGTATACGACTTAGTTGAACTTTATTTTTTTTTAGATTAGAGACCCAAAAATCACAACTTATACATTATGGATTATACGGAGTTTAGAAGGAAACTACAATCTACATTGTCGTGCCGTAAGATTGATTGGAAATTTATCTGAATGTAGTTGGCACGCAAAATCTTTGTGTGATCAACAAGCTGTTGGTGTATTAACAGACATTTTACACTCCAAAACCTATACTGAAGTTCATATAATGACTGTAAGAGCTATCAGGTAATTCTAACTTACTCAAACGATTTAAATTTTTTTGAGAAATCAACATCTACAAAACAATTCGATATGCCTTTAATATCTTTGTAACTGTCTTAAAATGTATAAAATCTAGAAAAATAAGCATTTGAAAATCAACTTAATTAACATAGTAAAATTATCAACCTTTACTTTTTTTAAATTTCTTATGTTTACAGGAATATTTGGAATTCGCATAAGAAAAGTCGAATTGAAATTCAACAGTCAGGTGCAATACCGAAAATTGTTACTATGTTTGTTAAAGCTAGGGCAAAGTCAGAATCTAAATATGTTGGTTTAACGAAAGCATGCTTAAAAGCAATGTGCTCGTTTGCAGAGAGTCTAGATGGTGAGAGTGCAGTACAAATGCGCGGTGAAAGCAATGAAGAAGGTTTTAAGAATATTATAGAACTGTGTGAAGAGAAAAATGACTTAGCCCTGAAGTGTTTATACAATTTGTCTTTAATAGCAGAATGTCGTCCTATATTAGGAGACTGTGGTGTAATTCAAAGGTTATTATTATTAATAACTAATAATGAGAAATTGTCCTGGCAAATTTTAGGGAGTTTATGTCTTTTTTGTCGAGAAGCCATAAATCGTGTACGACTTAAAGCAGCCACTGGATTAGAAGTAAGTGTTTTATGATTTATAGTAGTTGTAATTTTCATTTATATTTTTAATTTATTTCACTTTTATTATATAAGAATTATGAAGCTCAAATATGATGATTATCAAGACCTAAAGAAGACTTGATTTTCTCAGAGTGAGACTTTGTTGATTGGAGTATGTTAAGTTGTGAATAGATCAAGTTGTTTTTATAATAGTTTATTTTTAAGTTATTATATGGTTAAAAAAGTTAAACTTTTCGCAGGTAATGATGGCGTTATTAAAGAATAATGAAAATGAGAAATTCCATTCTATGATATTAGATGCATTTCTTTTATTTGAATACGACATGGACGGTATTGGAGTTATGGTAAAAAATGGACTATTAGATGTACTTATTGAAAAACTTAAATCCATGATCAAAGCTGAGGAGTTACAAAGTAAAAATGAGAAGGAGGTATCAAAGAAACGTTCAGGCGATTCGTCTCCTTATGAAAGAGCTGATTATAAGTATAACAGAACTTCGATTGGAAGGTAAGATAGTAAAATATATTTATTTAGTTTACTTTATATTTTTTGTAGATACTAGTAGAAAATTCGATTTTATTTTTTGAAACGTTTCCTACAGGTTTAGTTTAGATTATCATTATGAAAATTGGAGTCCGAGTAGTGGAGCCAGTACTTCTTCTTCTCCACCTAGTACACCACCCTTGCCTCTTTATAATTGTAAAGATTTCGATGAGAGTGCAGAAGAAAATTATAGTCCAGTTTGTAGTGATGATGATTGGACTGAAAAGGATCATAACACAAATTTTCATGATAAAGTAAAATCATCTTTTACTAAACATGTGAATAAATCAACTTTAGCTTTATTAAGCATATTAAGTGACTCTAATGAGCCAATGGAAAAATTAGCTGATCCAACAGTAATAACGTTGTTATCAACTTATATTAGATTTACCAAAGATCCAAAAGCTTTAAAAATTTTAACAAGAATTTCAAAGTGAGTTAACTTTTTATTGAGGAAATATTTACTTCTTTGCTATAAAGTTATTTGAAAATTGATAATTTTTATATTTGGTAATTATTTTTAGGAATAGTGCGTATCTAGTGCCTTTGATACAACAAGGTTTCGTTTTTGAAGCTCAAACAATTTATGGTTGTAAACAATGTTTGCTACATCTATCAGCGTTAGCTGAAACAGGTGGCGCTGTTGGACAATTATCATCAATTCTTTTACGTGGTACTGAGACAAACAAAAATATGATTGCAGTTTCTATACCGTTTCTTGTAAAATCTAAAAAAAGTCTCAGGTACTTACTAGGCGAACATGGTGGGATTCCGTTAATATTTCGAGTCCTTGAAAATCCAGAGCACAGTTTACATGATAATGCAATCTTGACAATTAGTCAATTAGCACAGTTACTGGAGATTCAGCCTCGTACTATTGACTGGAGTGAATTATTAATGGAAACTAATATTGAACCATTAGATAGAGCAAAATGTGATAATCTTCCGAAACCTTCCATAGTTACATTTATACTCGATGATGGAACTGCAGTTGATGCTTGCAGGTAAGAATTAAATAACTAAATTTGCTTTCAATTGTACTGCGGTATACATAGTTTTTCTTCAAGCAACTGCAATCTATTAAACTTTTTTAAAAACTAAGTCTCATACAAGAAAGTTTATTTACCCCTTCGCTGATTACAAATTTGATATCAGGTTTTCAAAATTCAAAATGGCGGATCCAATATGGCAGATAATTTAAAAATAGATAAATAGATTAATATTTTAAAATAGATACGTTTCGATTTATTATCTGTTATTAAAACAATTTTCTTAAATATTTAAAATTAGAAGACTATTCTAAAAAACTGAATTAACATATTTTAGAAAATAAACAATTCTTCGTAGCATAAAAAAGTTGTAACAATTTAAAAAGTAATTCTAATTTTCTTTACAGGCATACTCTTTGCCAAAAATCGGAATTCTTTTCAGCAATGTTAAATGGAAAATTTCTTGAAGCTGGAAAGAAAAAGATGTTATTGAAAGATACCTCAAAGGAAAGTTTAAATGCTCTTTTACTTGCGGCCAATGGTGATACATTTTACAACCAAACAATTGAAGAACTTCTTGATGCTGTTTTACTTGCCAATAAATATTTAATGCCTGATGTTTTGGAAATACTGATTAAAAGCTCAATATCGAGATTAAATTATGATAATTTTAGTCGCGTGTGGAATTGGACACGACAAAATTCTCCACATTTTCATGTTTGGACACATTTAAAGACTTTTTGCTTAGAAAGCTTTTTAACATCACGAATGACTAGAAACGAACGTCTTCAAGCATTTAGAAACTTTGCAGCTGGCAATGACTTCCAGATATTCTTGGTAGAGATTAAAGAAATATTAATTTCTAATCTCTATCTACCGTAAATAGACTGTTTTTTTAACTATTGTTTTCCTTTTAATTGTATATATTCATATATATTTGTTTATAACAAATCGAATTTTAAAAAATTATTTGTACTATAAATTAAATTATGTAATTTTATTTTTAGTAATTTCTTTCTCGAGTTATTAATTAATATAAATAATAATGTACAAAATGTAATAAATTTTTATAAAATATTAAAAATTAAAATTTATTTTTCAACCTGTGTGTTTTTTGAATTTTTGTGTATTGTTTTATTTCATACCATCTGTTTTTTATGCAATTGATAGCTAAACTAGTTAGTATGTTAGTGAACATTGATTCTACATCGAAAGAAATTAGAATTTTGTGCATTATTTAAAGTGGACATACCCCACAGTCGAAGATTATTAGGGGCACTACATCGATGTTAATTTATATAATATGTAGATTTGAACTATGAAGTGAGAATTGTTTGCTATTACGGTTTATTTTTGCAAAATGTATTCAATTGGTTTAACATGAGTTACACTGAAGAACATATTGATTCGATTCTTCTTAGTAATTGTTGATTGTTGCGTGACAATAAAGCAATGTCCAAAAATAGTGTTAGGTTTTGTTGATGACATTATCACAAGTGGAAAAAGTGTTTAGAGCTAGATATTTTGGTCTTGATGATCCGACCAAAAAGTTATAATTCCAAAATTCGTCTGTGGCAGTCTTATTCCTCCGCTGAAAAATAAAAAGTTTCGTTCCCTGTAAAAAAAGCAGAATTGGCTGTGAGCAAACAGAATTGGTGTTGAGTTTCTCCCAATACGGTTTTCACGCTGAAACTTATTGGAGGAAACTTACCACCACTTCTATTCGTTTACAGCCAATTCTGTTTTTTTACTGCCCTACTTGTTGTCGACAAATAGTAATAAAAAACAATGTTCTTGGTTGTGAAAGTAACTTTACCTGCAATTCATCAAAATTATTGTATTTCATGTAACTGTATCAAATACTAAAAGTTGGAAAATGCGAATTTACTGTTGGTCTGAAAGAATTCATTATTGGAGTTGTTTGCAAAATCGTCAATGATGAACACTATCTGCTGCAATTTGGATTCTTCGTCCAATAACTTCCAGGAAATAGTTTTAATTAACATTCCATTAAAGTAGTTAAATGTTAAGTACACTTCTAATATTTCACACCAAACAATAAATCACACCAAGTATATTTTAGTATATTTTATTGTGCAGACACACCACATTCTACTTTTAGAAATTATCAGTCATTGTTAGTATTAAAGTATTTTATGTGCTCCTTATTCGTTTTGAAAGAGAACTTGTGTTCGATTTAGCGTAATTTAGTTTGCTTTCGATAAACGTTAATACATTTAAATGTGAAGCACACTTGAGAAAATTTTTCCCCGAAAATAATTTTGAAACTTTTTTATTCTTGTACTTTGTTGTTATCGGAGAATCACTATAAAACAACAAAGTGAGCAATGTTGCTTTCAATTTACAAATCGAAATTTCGGCTTGGAGATAAATTTGCTTCTGAGCTTAGCTGTAATAACTTCAAGCAGAAAAACAATAAAAGAAATAGAGTAACCAAAGATTAGTACAAAAAGTAGTACCGGTAAAAGTTTTTCCTTTCCAATTGCTTCGGGTTCATATCTGCTACTTTTTAAATCTATATCCTGTTCGTAATATTCTTTAATCCAAAGTCTGTAGCTCTTAAAATTATTTGATTGTAGCGATCGAGATATGGTGAATGAGGTCTTGCTGTGAATGTAGACAAAGCATTTCTAATATTTTCTGATAGTATTTTTACATTTATATTACCGTATTTGGATTGATATTTATTAGTATAACCAGCGGCATTAAAAATAACACAAGTGACATTCCGACTGTTGGACAAAATATTTAAACAATAATTTTCTTGTCCTATTGGAAGCTGAGTCGATCTTTCCATCCAGTCTCGAATATCAGAACTGTCACTGTTCTTTAACGCAAGTTTTAGGAAAGCTGTACAATTCTGATGTAAGTATAAAATATTAACTTATTTTTTAAAAAATTTACTATTTATACACTTTATAAAAAACTAAATGTTTTAATGTAATTATTGTGTAACCTAATCTCTTTGAGTTACAATACGAAGTATATTTTACCACTTTTTTATATAACAAAATTACTTATTTATTAAATTTTTTGGAAATAAACTTATGAAAATAATATGTGTAAATATAATAAATATAGATAAGCATATTTGAAAGACTTTGGATTAAAATTTGTAGGTTACATTAAACTTTTCTACCTGTCACAAAATTTTTTTGATTTATCTAATTTGTTTAAAATTATTATTTATTATTATTATTATTATTATTATTATTATTTATTATTTATTTATTTTTATTATTTTTTTATTTTTTTTTATTATTATTTATTGTTTTAGTGTACCAGTAAAAATAGATAAATTTAATTAAAGTAAGAAATCGTTATATAAATGCTGGATTTTTTCAAAAGTTTAAAAAAAAGTAATTATGTCGCTAAATATCAATGAGAAAAACATTTATAGCGAAGAAATGGAAGTTGAGTTTGAAAATTCATTAACAGATAATCCCTTCGGTAATTTAAGAACATTAGAATATTCTGTAAATATAGTGTCATCGATGATTCTCGACACAATGCTACAAAATCAACAAGAGATACAGATGTAAACAATACATTGGATAATTCTCAAGTCGGTGAAAGCTTTGGTATTGGAAGTTAAGCTATTATTTCAGATAATACAGTTATTAATTGTTTCTGTTTTTCTATTTGTCATTCAAATGAAAAATATGCATTTAATTAATTACTTCTCAAAAGTAAACAATATATTGTAATACATTTTTTATTGTTTACATTGATATTTTTTAAAATATTTTATCTTATAGGGTCATTTGGGGTAAATGTAAACAAGGGGTAAATGTAAACAGTAGATGTTTCAGCTAAATTTACAAATTAAAAAATAAGTACGACGTCAATATTTTTACCTCAGCTCCCCTACAAGATGTTCTGAGTATTGCCAATATTTTATTTTGACAATTGGCAATGCCATAGTGTAAGTTATTTTTTAATGCAAAAAAGATTGAAAATCAAAATTTTACTGTTTCAGTATCTTGTCTCGCATTTGCATAAAAATTAATTAAAAAGTTAAACAAAAATATGTAATTCTTCCTTATTAATGCCCTAACAAAAATTGACTTTGATTTTCGTCAATTTAGTTAATAAATAATTAAGTGTTTACATTTACCCCGAGAATTCGAAAACTCGGGGTAAATGTAAACAGAACTTGAACTACATTTTAAAAGAAAGTAATTGAATAAATTTGCTTCTATTTCATAATTTTATTAATTTGGCAATGTAAAATTACATATATAAAAGGAAATTAGGTCCTCTTTGAAAAAAAAATTTGATAAAAGAAAAAAAAAATTTGAAAATTTGATCAATTTTAAAAAATATTTTTAGGTTCATCCGCCATTTTGAAAATTTAAAATTTTACTTCAAATTCGTATTCAGCGACCTCAAAAACCCCCTAGTTGCCAGATTTAAGCAAATTTGATCAATTTTTAAAAATATTATTTTTGGTTCATTCGCCATATTGGATCCATGGATCCAATACCACCATTTTGAAATTTAAAAATTCGATTTTAGATTCTTATTCAGCAACCTTAAAAACTTCTTTTACCAAGTTGAATGAAAATCTATTAAATTTGTTCAAGTTATTCAAGTTTTTACATTACTAATTTTGTAATGGTTAATTGTTTATTTTATATGATACATTATCAGTCAACTGGTTGATTTACTACACTGAAAAAAATACATGAGACATTTTCAACTACATCCCCTTAGTAGAGTGAAAAGTAATAAAACGAACTACTTTTTTAGTTAGTCTGGCTACTTTTGATACTTATTTTAACTGTTTTATGTAGTTAAAAATTATTAATTAAATTAATGTAATTTTATAGTTAACTTTGTAACTGCAGGTATGTTACAGAAATGACTACAGATAGTAGTAGATTCTACTACTTAAAGTAGTTCGATAGACTAATTTTGTAGTAGTTTTTACTTCTTCTAGGAGTTGAATTATTTTCCATGTAATTTATGTTATAGATTTTTATAGAAGATTATCAACTGTGAAAAGTTGTAAATGCAACTACTTTAAGTAGTAAAATTAACTACAGTTATCAGTTGAACTGTGTCAGGAATGCCTTTAAGTATTAAGCAACTCATCGTAGCGGGCGAGCGTGGTTAGGTGGTTAGGTTATCGGTTTACGAATGTTAGGGTCGAGCGTTCAACTCCCGACATTTAGAGATTTTTCTCCGTTAGGTATTGGCAATGAAAATTACCACCGCGGGCTCGGTGTCGCTAGTGTTTTACACCAAAAATGGACGAAATGGGTGTACAAATTTAAAAAAATATAAACTTAAATTGTGACTTTTCGGTTTTAATTTTAAGTAGTTTTTCAATAAAAAGATAAATAATGAACAACAATCTTAACAAATATTTCTTAAACATTAGAATACTTTAAATATTAACATTTTTTTCAACCTTGTACACCCACAGCAGCCATTTTCTTTAGTTCACTTTATGGTCACTATATGTCGCATTGCAATTTTAAATCCCCAATATCCTTATATGAAATCAGCAGATATGCAAATTAGGTAAAGAGAGACATTCTTATTGACATTGCCTTTAGAGAAAGAAAGAAAGGTAGCCGTTACCAGAGAAAGCGTTATCGGCGCCGTTATCCAGACGTTATCGAGACCGTTACCTTTGGAGTTTCTATTACTATATATATTATATATATATACATATAATAGTCTTTTCTTTATATTTCCCTTGCGATGAAGGAAGAAAGAAAATATTACCTGGGTTCTCCGAGGTAATCCCCATTACAAAGGCTATTGTTTAAGGGTTCGTAATCCTTCTTAGGGTCGAATACAGGCCTATATATATATATATATATATATATATATATATATATATATATATATATATATATATATATATATATATATATATCTATGAGTGCGAAGAGGACACTCACGTTTAGGGCCTACCACCTAAATATAAGAACGAAAATTTAATTTAAAAATCATATCGTCGATTATTTTCCTTGGAG